GAAATGCGGTACGGTACCACAATCCGATACTGCGAAAATGTAACTTTACCTTAAGGTGACCTTTCCAGCAGCTTTAGCCAGAGCTAAGGTCTATGAAAGTGAAATACTCAATCTTGAACTTCTGTGAATTTTCTTCTTTTCTTTGTGACTTTCGTTAAATCTCTAGCGTTAACCCCGCATCATCATTCATCACGCGTTTCTCTTACACTAGGCATTTTATGCCGACGCCTTTACTGAGAGCTCCTGAGAGGTAGAGAAAATATGGGGATACAAACCAGCTTCAAATAAAGTCAAAAAATTCGGGAGTTTCCCTCAACTTTGTAGATTTGCCAGTATTCAAGTTAAGGTAGGCGAAGATCAAAGCTATTAATATAAGGTATGAACTCTGTACCCCATTAGCTCTCTTGTTCTAAACGCAGCGCTTCCCGATGGCCATTCTTTTTGAGCGCTGACGTCTCTGTGGTGCTCTTCGGTTATATGAATGACTCATTTCCAGAGGTCGAACACCGTTCTCTCGAACACGGAAAGCACAAAGCGAATGAAACGGAATAAGGTCCTATTGGCTCAGGTGTGTCCTTCTACAAAGTCCTGAACACTAGCAGGATTCGAACTCCTTATAAACTGGAAATGTTTCAGAAAGTGTCCCAAGACAGTCTTTACTTGGTTGACATGCTTTTTGCCCAAGTGCTGTCCGGACTGCTACCGTACAATTGGTGGTTGTTTCTGTGCCTCACTTTCGTTTGGCTCTCACTCAACACTATCGACGGGTAATTGTTGAACAAGCTCCCAACTCTTTTTATATTCGAAAAATTCAATCTTAGGTGATGAAAATATTATGAAGAATAGAGGTCACGCCTTCAATCAAAAGGCCTCTTCGGAATAAGCCGCGCATTCTGAACATTCCCATCCAGAATCAAAGGGACATCCAATGCGATATGGCCCAATACATTGCAGAGGCCAACTAATGGACGTGCTAGGCTTTTCACCCTTCGCGAGTACTGTACCAATTGAAAAATTCTGGAGAAATGGAAGGCTTAGTTGACCTGGGTAGACCCGATGCGAGATTTGATCATCGGATATCGCGTGTGGGAAGTGGCTCTACTTGTCATTAGACCACCTCCACCCTTGGTCACTGATAACAATGAAAAGCAAAACCTCATCATCATCAGTTCATAACATTTATTGGAGCGACTTTTAAAATTGTCCTTGGGCGCTGACTTCAAAACATTTCGGGAGCAAAGGTATGTTAGCAAGTAAGGGAGCGGTATTCCCGGTATTTCCAACGTTGTGAACTGAACGGTATGTATACTAATGCGAAGGGATAGTGGAAACGGGAGCGGCACAAATACATGAAACAGAGCTATGTGGGAGAGCTAACCACCCATCTTGAGTTGTCCAAAGTTTTCTTCTCTTTTTTTGTTCGGCTCAATGGTAAGGGACGAGGTCTGTGGCTAACCCGTAGCTTAGAACTGGATCGTTCTCGAGATAGGATTTCCGTCGAATAGTCTGGAAATTATTTAAGAACCTAGCCGCGATCAGATCTTTGAAATATGCTGTTTATGAGGTAGTAGGGTCCTACGTAACACTGGATCTTGGAATTGACGTCGTTTTAAAAGGGCGCCACAAGAGTATATTTCTCTTTCTGTATGACAACAGTCGACCGTCTTGCCATTCCTATGATCCACGCCATGGCGTCTGTGCGCTCTTCGTTTTGACGGCCTCTCTCTCCTCGAAGTGCTGAGCCTCTCCATAGTGCCACGGTCAATGGAGGTCCTTGGTAGTTTCCTCCGATTCCTACTATATTTTTATCTCACCGGCATGACTATTTTACGTCTCTCGCTCCATTTTTTTTCATTTTTTCAAATAACACGCCATTCAATCGCGACTCCTGCCTTGGAAGTCGCCCACGAGCGACGACAGCAAGAAGAAGGGCGAAAGTCTCTTACCTTAGCAAAAAATATTTCGACTCTTCAAAATAAATCCCACATTTTAGAATCGTCTGAGAGGGTGAAAAGACTGCTTCGGACGCTGACTTTCTTTCTAACTCCTCTCGTATTCCTCACGAGTGCTAGAATCTCGTCATCTCTCAGGGGAAGTCACATGCGCATCGCATTCTAAAAGAATCTTTCACAGTCTTCCACTTCAACACTTCTCCCCAAAAACTGTTGACGATTAAGTATTTTGATGGCAATGATTTGCAAAATTTCTATTCGAATCTGGACTGCATGAGTTCAGGGATAAAAATAAAGGATAAAGCATTTGCCGTTGATCAATCCCTTTTTGGGATGCGGCACGCATTCTACTTCCATTTGTACATTCGCAGTGGCGTTTGAATGCGATGTGGCCTATACAATGACTTGCGGGGGCCAGCCGATGTTCAAGTCAGTGTTTTTATCCTCCCAGACAAGTCTGGTACCAATTAACCGACCCCGGAGGGATGGAAGGCTTGGTTGGCCCGGGCGACTCACGACCCAGGATTTGATCCCGGACCGCTCGCGTGGTGAGCGCGCCACTTGTCACTGCACCACTTCCGCCCTCTGTTGAGTCATATTGCGTAGAAAATATTTGATCA